TAGGGAGCTGTAAGGACTTTTCCATCTCTTTCTCCCTCTCTCTGCGTAAAAGCTCTATCCGCTTCTGCAGTATTTTCTTCTGAGCTGACTTGGACAAGGTAACTTGGATCTAGTTGCAAGGGAAATACATCATGGAGCATAAAGAGAGATACACAAACGATACACAACATCTCATCAGGAATACAGTGGTAGAGTGTCCTAGTCTTTTAATTTAATAGTCTTAATGAAACATCCCAATAGTTTCAGAAGAATTCCTCCTTTCTTTACCTTGGCATACAATTAGACCCAGTGATGTGTAACACTTCATTGCCATAACCTTCCACTGGTCTAAGGTACCGTTTCTCAGTCCATGTCAGGAAGCCCTGCTTGAACCAGGAAACTCACAGGAGTGCTCCAAGACATATGAAGAGCTCACAATTCCAGTGAACAGGCAGCTCAGTTCCTATAGGCCAGGGCAGGGCAATAAAACCCATCTGCAGTAACCAGCAATGAGAGGTAATTTGCTGTTTCTTAATACTCATGGCCAGTAATTGCAGCTGCTTTTCACTTCCTTCCTTCTGAAGGACTCAGCTGCTCTCTGAGAACGTAGGAGTCCAAAAAAGGAGGCATGTGAAAACCAGTTGGAGAAACATTGGTCTTAATGAATGGAAAAAATGAGAATGAGAGGGCTGTGAGATACAGCAAGAAAGGTAACCCAGGAAAAGCAAGTTCTCCCATCTTATTTGGCAGCCTTGCTTACACTCAACATTATAATCTTTGCTTCTGTGCTTCTGAGCTTGCATTTTGCACATGTTCACTGACATGTAATTTGCTCTGCCATTCAGATCTGCTCTAAATTTGCCTTTGAACATAAAGAATGCTTCTTGTGTAACCTTAGCATCATCTCCCAACCAGTGACTTCTGCACCAGTGAAGATACTCAAGAAATCATTCTGTGGCTGACAATTGTGTTTCCAAGAGAATCTGCTCCCCAGGAGAGGAAGATTGGGATTTGCAGTTACATTTTGTGCTAAGCACTGAACAGTCACTGAAAAGGAGGCCTGCTCACCCCTGTCTTTAGTCGTTACCTTTCCATTGCTGTCCTTCAAGTCATCGTCGCTCGGAAGACGAGGGCTCATGAGATGATCCGTCTCCTTGGCCTGGCTGAGTGGGAGGCCTGTTAATGGGGGCAGAGGTTCACACAAATGTCCGGCAGATTTCACGCCACCAACATTGCGACGTTGAAGAACAGGCAAGATGGGTTCCAGAGTCTGGAGCTCTGATAAGACACAGATATAGATGGTGTATGAGAACAGCAAGGAACATATCACCCCTGCAAACAGTTGGGTACTACTGTATTGCACTGGCAGGAGAAATGGCATTGCTCTGTTGGCCATCAGACTCAAACCTACTGCATGATAAAGGCCTCAGCCCTTGGCTTCTGGTGAGCAGCTGTGTTTGACAGGGAAGAGCAGAGAGATGGAGATTGCCCTTGCCAAAAAGATTCTTATCTGTTCCTATCCATTTTAGTAAGCATCCTCTTTTTCCGTTACTAAAAGAACTCCTGGTTTTTAATAGCTATATTTAATAGCCTTTGTAGAGGTAAGAATCAACATTTCCTCCTCTTTGCTGGAATATTTTAGAGGACATTTAAAGAAAAGCTTAGGATTTCTAGAGTGTTACCAAAACCAGAATTGTGTTCTTGAAGCTAGAATTCATTTTCCCCAAGGGTTTTCATTCTAAATTAGAGCAGATCAGCCCACTTTCTGGACAACCTCACTAAAGGCTGATTTTCTTAATGGGACTAGCCCAGTGCAGGTCATTCTGAAATACTCTCCAACACACCTGTTAAAACTAGAGAACTAGTCCTTCCTTCCATGGCTTCACAGATTATAAAATCATGTGATAGACAAGCAGTAAAAAAAAAAGGAATAAATTTTTTAAATCAGGATCTTTTTCCCTGTGGAATGGTCAGGTCAATAATAAAAGAGAGAGAGAGAGAGATGGTTTAACAATATAGCTCATTTCTAGTCAGGAATGTATCCAGGAAAAATGTCACCTTACTTACTCAGCAATACTTCTCCCTAGTTGCATCCAGAATCCTAGCTGCGTATCAGCAATAAAGGAGTCATTCCTATGGGGCATGCCCATTATTTGGCAGAGCTAACGCTGAGCTGAGGGACCAGTGGATCTTATCCCTTTTTCTGCATCAGCAAAATTATTTGTTAAATTCTCGTCTCTCCTATCATTGCAAACCCACAGATGGCAAAGGGACAGCAACAGTGTCATTTAGATTTCCAACTTTAAAGTACTAGCTGGCACAAATGCACCAGCCACTGCATTTTGTCTTGTGGAACTCTCATTGCTAGTGATAATGCAGGGCAGAGAGAAGCCAAGGGGCATTTCCTATCCCAGCCTCCGTCTGCAATACTGGCATACGCAGATAGAGTAGGAAAAAAAAATGTGTAATAATAAAGCCAGCATGTGTGGTTTCAGAGAAACTGGTTGAAAAAAGGAAACCTCAGTTCATTACTTAGTATTTAATTTAGACTTATGCTTTAAGAGGATGGAAAGCTCAGATCCTGTATATGCTGGATCCTTTTTTAAGTCTCTTTCTCTGTAAATGGGAAATTCACAAGGTTTCACTCTTTCTCCCAGTACAAAAATAGTCAATGTTGATGAATCTACTTCAGATCGCAAAGGGTTCAGTTCAGAAACTGCCCCAAGTAAAGGTTTTCTCCTTCAAGTATAGGAGGAAGGAGTGGAAACATTTCTCATTTCATGCAAAATGCCTCATTTTTCTCAAATCTTTGTGGCATTAGAGAGCAGTCAGGGAGATAAAAGATATGAGCATGAGGCAGAGGAATGGTTTCTTTTCCTGCTGTGCATCTCCAGGGCCCCAAGGTATCCCTCCAGCTCCTGCCATTTGTAACCCCATGCTGGAGTTAATTTTTACTGGATCACCAGAGCACATTTACCAGAGACTGGGCTCTGGGGTAACCGTCTGAGCCCATCAAGGAATTGAAAAAAGTTACAGGATGGTTTTCAACCCAACTTTCACAGTGCCAACCATGGGTCAGGATTTCGATGTTCATTTTAGGTCTCCTAACCCTGATCTCAGAGTGGGAGAATCTGAGTCCCACTGGGCAGTAGTGCACATGCACGAAAAGATAAGATTTTATCTTAATAAGTCCCCCCAAAGTAATTAGGATAACCCTGACATTTTTTTTTTAAACTAATTATAATAACCCAGCCTGAAAATGAATATGTATGTGACTAATGCAATCCTAAATGTATATGAAGGGATAACGTATCTTTCCCAGTGTGCCTCTGACTTGGGTCAAGCACTCAGCGCTGTGCTTTTGCTTTATTGACTTTGTCCTCACAAATAAAACTAAACCTACCTTGATTACAAGGCTTGGGTGTTTATTACACCACCCATGGGTCAGGATTTCGATGTTCATTTTAGGGCAGCCAGGTCCTGTACCTACCTTGATGTTTAAGGGTCCTCTCTTCACTTCTGCTGCCTGATCTTGGCCTTAAGAAAATTGAGGAGAAAAGAACATATGAGGAGACAGAAAGAGAAGCAGGGTAGCATTAAAGGAGGCAAACTTTCTTAGCAAGGTCATGTTGATGAAGGAGGAACCCATAAAATCAACAATATGCAAAACTGATTAATTGCCATTAAACTTCAGTTACTGGAGTCACACAGAGCTCATCCAGCTCAAGCTCCCCTGGCTCCAAGGTGTACCCGCTTCCAGCCCAGGCTGAGCTAATTAGCAAGAATTAGCCTCTGGGAATCCATATTTATGAGGCAAAGGACTGTCTTGAAAAGAAGAAGGTGGAGAGAACCTGGAGAAGAGGCCATTGACCTGAACAAAAGATGACCATTGGCCTAAACAAAGGGAGAGTTTTGTTGCCATGAGGAAGAGAGGGAGGACAGAGAACCTCAGACACCCAGTTCAACCCACATGGAGTAGGAGAAGGTAAAGGAGATCCCCTGCAGCCCATGGAGGTTCTGCGGTGGAGCAGATACCCATGTATAGGCCATGGAGGACTCCACGCTGGAGCAGCAAGCTGAGCCCGAGGGCAAGTGTGACTGAATTGCCACCCCAGAGATGCTCAGTGCCAGAGCGGGGGTGGACCCCCCAGAGCTGGGGGGTGAGGAGATGCGCTGGACTGGAGGCCCATCTGCAGCCCATGGATGCCCCCATGCCAGAGCCGGGAGCTGAGCCCAAAGAGGTCTGTAACTCCATGGGAAGCTCACGTTGGAACACTTTGTTCCTTTGCAGGCCGTAGGAGGGACTTTCATGCGGGGAAGAGCACCAGAGGTGAACTGACTGAACCCCCATTCCCTGCTCCCTGTGCCCCTGGGAGGGGGGAAGGTAGAGAAATCGGGAGCAAAGTGATTTGAGCCCAGGAAGAAAGGAGAGGTAGGGGAAGGTGTTGTAAGATGTGGTTGTGTCTCACTGTGCTACTCAGATGAATGGCAACAAATTAAATTGATTTTTCTTCCCCAAGTTGAGTCTGTTTTGCCTGTGACCATAACTGGTGAGTGAGCTGTTCCTGTCCTCATCCTGATCTGTGCCCCTTTATTGTGATTCCCTTCCCATCTCACCGGGTCGGGGGAGTGAGTGCAGGACCACATGGTCCCACCTGTGGGTGAAACCACCACGCTGTTACATACATCCTTTCTGAATCAGCAAGAGATGTTACACCAGCCATAAGTCTGTATTGAGGGCAACTAACTTGTTGTTGCTGCAGAAGCCTAACTTTGCCTGGCCATGCCTTCAGCTGATGATAGTATCTTGTGACATGTGGTAATACCACTGCTGTCTCCTGAGAATGATATTACACCTCCCTGCTCTTTCAAGAAGAAAAAGGGTTTCTCCAACTCCATTAGTAGGTAAGTATATTCAGATTGCACTTTAAAAGCTGTGCTGAAGTTTTTAAATCGGAACTATGCTTCTATGACTCTATTCATTGTTATAACTAGGATAAGGCTGACAGCTAGATTTCCCCACGCGTTTCCAAGCAAATATATTTCAGTTACAGCCCTATAACTGTTCCCTAGCACCTTTCCCCCTTTGATCTTAAAACCATATGTAAATATTAAACATCTCCAGGGTTATACATGTATAAACAGAGATTTATCTGGGCTCTCATTTCACAGTGAAGGCCCAGACACAGAGAAGTTATGGCTGACATTTACAGAAGCAACATCTGAATTTGTGGACAGCAAGAGGCATTATTTGCCCTAACATATTCTTGCAGGTAGAGATATTGGCAGTCAAAGATCAGACACAAAACCAGATGCTGTATTCAGATCCATGCAGTACAGTTCCCAAATGGCACCACAAAGATTACAGAGCGAATCACTACCAGAGTCCAGCAGAGGACCTCCTTTTAAGGTCCTCTTAAGTCATGTCTCCTCTTCCCCACCACCTCTGCTCTTAGAGTCTATGATGTTAGTTTTGACATTGTGCTGGATCATAATGGAAACATGATATGGTGAAAGCACAGGAGTTTGCATAAATATATTGGAGAGCTGCCTTGGAAAATAATCTCAGGAGATAAGAAGTGTGAGGTGAAAAGCATATTGGAGAAGCAGATACATTGGCTTACCTCATCTTCAGTCCCCCTTGGATAACCAGGTGCTGAGAGCTTGGGAGAGGCACTGCAGTGCTGCCAGCATCCCCATCAGATGGTCTCGCTGATCTGGGGATAGGGGGAATCAAAGCCACTCCCAGTGACTTCTTCCCATCCTCATCACTGCAGTACAAGGGCAGCAGGGAAGCCTGGAAATAGGAGAACATAGTGCTCAGCTCAAGCGTCCAGTCTTCACCTTGATGCCACAAGAAGTTTAGCCATGCTGTTAGCTAAGACTTGGCAGGAAATATCTAACTGATGGAGCAGCTTGGCCTAGGATGAGCAATGGAAAACAAAGTGGCGAGGGAGAGACCATGACCTGTTGCCAGTTCTCTCCCCTCACTCACATCTCTGCAGTGGTTGCATTCCCACCTGGCATCCATCAGCTTGGCATTAGGATGTTCTGGGGTGCCATTGCCTCTGCTAGCCTTTCTGATATACAGGAATGGGTTTAGATCACTATGCTCTCATTGTCCCTAAAGCAACTACCAGCCATTGCTGAACTGCTGCCAAGTCCCCACAAAGTCATTTTGCACGCTGTCAAAACCTGCTTTTCTCAAGTCCATAATTTTTTCTGCTTCTGCCCTTCCTACAGTTCCCCAACAGCCTCACTGTCATTTGTGAAGTTCAGCAGAGCTCCTTACCCTGATTCTCTGTGTAAGGTCTCTCTGCCTGCTGAAATTACTTCAAGTTCCCCATGCCATGGCTAGGAAGGGGGATGGAGGGAGCAGGGACAGACACGCACCCTTCCTTAGTATCCCATTGTTCTTGTCACAGCTAAAGACCGAATCAGGACCTGCTCAAACTCCAGTGAAACCAACAGAATTCCTGTCAGGGATACATTTGGTCCTATATCTGCAAGGCTGAAATAAAGTACACTAGCCTTTTATTGATTCTCCTGTTTACAAAAGCTGTTATTCATCTACCTTCTCCTGCCCGCCATGTCAAAACCAAAACCACTGCAGCTTCTGTCTCTCCTGCAAAGGCAATTGAGTAGATGGGTGCTGGACTCCATTCTCCATGGTTAGAATTGCCAGCTCTCATCACTTACCCCTGAGAAGACCCATGGGAGAGGATGAAGCTGCACAGAAGCCACTGAACTCTAGAAATATATTAGAGATAACTGTGCAGAAGGCACAGTTGTATGGCTGTACAACTTGAAAGCTGAGACAACCTGGAGTTGAGTTTGCAGGATTGCTGGCTCCTGCAACATCTTTTTCCACATAAACCAGACAGAGCTGATATAAAAAGCCACCGAGACAGGGGTGTGTCCACAACAGTAACTGCCATGTACAGATCGTTCACAGATATGTGTATTTTACTCACTGTAGAAGGATATGCTAGACCAGAGTAGACACACTTAGTTGCTCTGGCTGGTTGCTGGTGTTTTCTCAATCATAAAACACAGCAGCAGCCACTAAAGAGCACAGAGACTATTTAAAGACCTCTTCTCCTGTTGGTATATGCTAAGGACAGAAGCCTGCAGTACGCATGCTGCAATGACAGCCTGAAGTGCAATGTGCAGCTGAGCTCTTCCTTGGCTCAGCTGCTTCCCAGGGCTCGCACCACAGGGAAAGAAGATCTTAGAGCTCTGCCTAGAGGAAATAAACTGAGGATCTACAACATGTGATTTGGCTTGGTCTCCTTACGTTATATCCTTTTCCGTCTGACAACGGCTCCTTGTTATTCCCATCACTGTCACCACAGCCAGTGCCATGTTCCCCATGCTCCTGCTCTCTGTTGCCCATCGTCCTGGGCTCTGAGGAAGGAAGGCGATTCTGGATAGGAGGCACGGGCTTGGATGTTTCCAGGAGCCTCTGGGAAGCAGGGCGGGAAACTACTGGTTTCAGGGTAACCCTCTCAGGGTCACTGCCGTCAGTCAGGCCTGCAAAGCAGAGACACAAAGGTAATAGAAGCAGCACTACAAACCTAAAGTACCTGAAAGTAGATATTTCATGGGACAGATTTCTTGGAAACATCTAAATAACTGCACAGGGAAACACACTTATGCTGGCAGCCACTTGAAGCAGGCTTCAATCACTTCCACAGAGCCACCAGAGGAACACCTTGGTCCTCTGGGCTCCCGTCAGACAACAGGGAGCCCACGGACCTCTGGTTACAGAGAATAAGTCACTCGCACACACACCGTCCTGCTCCTGTCCCTGCCCCACAGTTGTACACCCCCACAGCAACAGGAGGGCTGTGCAGGGGACTGAGAGCAGGGAAGGTTCCTGCAGGGGAGCAGGGGAGAACTGTTCACTGGGAATGTGCGCTATCTCTCCAGGCTGGGAAAGGACCCCTCCTCCCCCAGGAGAGTCGGCAGGCTCCAGCCTTACCTCTCTGTGAAGCTAACAGATCTTCAGACATCATCCTCGTCTTCAGCTTGTCACTGATCTGAATAGTTTTCAGGGCAGCGCTGCTCACCTCCCTCTCTTGGGGGTCCTGGGTCAAGGCTTGGTGAGAAAGGTGGAAGAGATCACCTCTGCACCCAGCGCTGAGGTCACACACACTAGCCTTCCTGACTGAGCCATCCAGAGGAGATGGGTATGGAGGTTTCCCAGCTCCGTACAGATCCCATAAACTGTGCGGTATCTTCATCTGGGTTGTTAATATGGACTGAAAAGAAGCTGTAGGTCAGGTGAAAGGGAGAAAGTGAGTTAGTTGACCTCACACCTTTATAATCAATCCATTTAATAAGTGAGGCAATCGAGGGTTTTTTTAATCATTCAGAAGATGAGTTTGTTTTCTTTTTCATAAAACTAGCAACAGTTTAATTCTTCTGAACAGTATTGAGCTAAAAAGCCAGGAGAGCAACATTGAAGACTCCCCTGGTAAAAAGAGGGAAATACATTCCCGTTTCAGGCCTTGGCTTCCGTGAAGACTGCCAGTAAAGACCCACAAAGTGCTACTGGTATTTCTGGAAAGCAGAAAGACATCTCGGCAAGCAGGCAGACCTTGCCAGTGTTTCTACAGCACCATCCCATCTTCAAGGTCAGGTCTGATGGGGAAGTAGAGGAAGAACTGAGAATTTACCTATGGCGGGACCACACATTGATAGCAAGGATAGAAACAGACCTCACATCTCACTACCATGCCCGATTTACGGCCAGTTGGGCCACAGTCCCTGTCCTGGCTGGCAGTAGTAGAGATTTGGCTACAGGGGATAAAGGAGAAAGCATAATGAATTAATGCTAGAGAGATGTGAAGCCATGTGCACCACTGGATTAGGACAGGATCATCTGCAGCTCTCGTCAGCCACCTACTCTGACACAGAGCCAGCATATGAGGACTGACCTTCAAGGACCATTTCTCCCAGAATTTTTTTTTTTTTCATTTGGCTGAGGCCACCATTGCATATTCAACCCCTTTCCATCCTTACCTTCTTCAGTGGTCCAACGGCGGCCACAAAACTGCAAGTTTGAGTCAATGCTTCCGCCTCGCAGAGCTGTGTATCTGGATTTGAATTTAGGAACACTCCCACAGTAGACAGCAACCAGAGAAGTGAGCTTAGCTTGAAAATAAGGCCAGCACAAATGTCAAATTCGCACGTTATATGGAAAGGAAAAAACAGACACCCCTTCTCCACAGGAGACTAACACACCAGTGGTGCTGTGCAGTACTAGACTCTGCAAGGCTGTGTGACCTCACACTGGTCTGCCTTGTGAGGCCCGTGCATTCCAGCACTTTGACAGCTGAACGTTCTACAAATTTGCATGTGCTTCGCTAGTTGCCCATCCACGACTACAGCATTTATTTCCTCTCCTTTCAAAGGGTAGACAAGCCACAATGGTCTCTAGAATCTGACAATGTCTAATCAGTAGATGCTTTCCAAAGCTAGTTTGAAAGTCCTTTGTTTCTGTAATTCCTGCTCAATTTTGGGTTGAGTTTTGTTGGTGTTTTTATTTCTCTTCACGACAAAGAAAGTCCTAGGACAGACAATTAATCGCCAGGTGTTATAACTAAAAGAAGGTTTGCACTCTGCATTAGATGTCCCCAGTACTCAGTGGGCTTACTTGATTATCGTATCTGTAGGATGCAAATTGTCCATCCAAACCTTCTCCTTAGTTCTGCTTCACTGTTACAGGGATTTATTCCCTGCTTTCCTTACTGCAGAGATACCCAAAACCAACATAAACACATCCTGCCTAAAAAAATTTCTGATCTCGGCTGTTCCTGAAAATTCAGAATTATACACAGCGTGTTTCCCTGCCTCTTGTTCTTGCCAATATCTTCCCCATTACCCAGCCTCTAAGGCTGGGCTCTCACTTGTACAGCATGAAGAATAGCTGCTGCACTTGCCAGCATCTCCAGAGTCTCGTGATCAGTGCTTTGGATGCAGCTTTTGTACACGCTCTGCCTCCCTGCGCCAAGCAGCATCCCTGGGCACCAGCACTGCCGCTGCAGGTGATCATCCTCCAGGCAAAGGCTGCGGGAACAGGAGTGCAGCAGGCCCTGGCTGAAGAAGTCTCCAGTCTGCTGCAGCCATTTACCTGCTGCAAAATCATCTTGCATTGCCATGGCGAGAGGGCCGATGGGCTCTTTGCAGATGAGAATCTACTCGATGCACTGCTGGTCGCTGGGCCTGATACAGCTGCCAGTGGGTTCCCCTGCAGCATCAGGAACCTGCATGGAAAAACAACACTGCTAGTGCAAGTGACCGCCACCGATCCCTGGCATTGACCTGCCTACAGGGGTTCCTGAGCACAAAACTGCTCAAAGCAGGTGGTGTGAAAACAACATAAAAATATATTCGAGCCATGCATTTTCCACATTCTGTCAAAATCATGGCCACAAAGTCCAAACACTGGATGAAGACTGCTGTTGGCATAACGAGTGAAACACAACTGCACTTCAGCAGCTGCTCTCCCCATGGCTGTATGGGCACAGCAGCAGAGGCAAGTTTCTCGCCATGCCCACTGCCATTGAACCCAGCACAGCACATTAGTGTTAGAGTCATTCCCACTGAACTCCGCACTGCTGCTGCAGCAGGAGCATCGACTCATGCATTTAATAACAAAGAGCTGTAATGTCACACTGGACTTGCCCCAAGAACAACCGAAAAAATGGGTGGTAGAATAGTTTTCTCCTTTTTAATAGAAATATACTTGGATTTAAGGGAGGGCATTGGGCTAACAATACTGGAGACTGGAGCGTAACTCCCATCTCTAGCACCTTTCATGAGTCTGATAGACTTTTTCCGTAGAAAGGTGTAGGTAAGATTTTATGAAACATCCATGAGTAATTCTGAGCCACAACTCAAACCACAAACCAAGTACTTCCAAATCTGCCACCCACTGGGAAAGGAAGAAGAAAAGCAGCTGAAATAACTTGCTGTTGTAGCTAGGTTGCCTGCATTTATAGTGCTGCTGAGGTATCTACAGCACTTGCTGGATCTCAGAAAGCCTGAGGCTACAGCACAACCCATATTGAGGGATGCCAGCTATCCAGAAACTATCTGCCATGCTCACATCAACAAATGCACATCCCACAGGGTTAGTGGAGTTGTAGGCAGTGTCATGGTGTGCAGGGTATATGAAGGTGAAGGAAATTTATGCTTGGTCCTTCAGGTTAGTGGTATAACAAAACGTGACACTTTACAGCTTCAATCCCTGCAGTCTATTTCCTTACTGGTTTGGTTGCTTTCACTTCAAAACTCTAGAGAGATTTCTTTTCACCTTCCGACAGAGACTTCAGTCACCATACAGGGCTTTTGCCTCCTTAAACGTATTAACCCATTTGTTATGGCCTAAGTGAGAGGTAAGAAGGGATTTGGCAGAGTACACCTTAGGATAAGAGGTCAGGATGGTAAGCCAGCAGTGAAATTCCTATCAACGTCAGTGAGTACAGAAGGATGCCAATGTGAACTGCTTTTGCAAATCCACTCATAGGTGCCTCTAAAACTCTGCAAACAGAACGACTGTCATGTGGTAGCTAAGTACAGCCAGAAGGATCAATCACAGACACAGTTCAGTTAAATTATTACAGAAAAAAAAATGCCCCTGCACTGGATGGAAGAAGCAAAGGCAGGTCCCCATTAGTATGTTCTGTAAGCTTAAAACAAATAACAAAGAATGCTTGTGCAAGGACTTTAGGTACCATCCTATGAGTCAAACTTACAATCAGGTAAAATGGTATCCTCAAGCAAATGTCAATAGAAATTGTTCATAATGCAGCAAGGCCTTGTACTGCTCCATCCCCTGCCCAAGAGATTTACCTCTGCTCAAAAGGTGTCAAAGCATTTATCTGGAACAAAGCAAGTGGTTTCAGAAAGGCTGGAGTTAGCTGAGTAGTTAACCCACTTCTGGCTTTCACCCTTCTTATTAGTCTAGATAAATTAAAAAGAAACAGTCTATGGTCAAGAAATGAAGTTACCTAGAGGGTTTTTAGAGCCTGATTCCCATTACTTTCAATGAAAGGCAGGCACTAAATAGCCTTAAAAATACAAATGTAGTTCTATGTGGACTGTGTACTTTAAAACAAGGAATGGAGGTATCATTGCAAATGGGACTAGGGCATAAAGCAGGGGTTAAAGTATATTTTCTTTGGTCTCATTGCATAGGACGAATATCTAAGACATATGCCAGTGGCAATTTTGGCTGGTTAAGATCACCTCCTAAATGAAGGTGAGCATGCCCCATTGCTTAAGGTATTAAAAATGCCCAAGAGAAAGCAGTAAGTACCAGAAATGAGTGTATCATGTAGCTAGGATAGAAGGCTGCCTCTGCCACTCACCTACCCTGTAATACAACTGACTTACTCTGTAACCCCAAGCCAGGCTTCTCCATGCCTCACTTTTGTTCCTCTGTCAGGCTGTCCTACCTAAATTCTAGCATGCTATAAAGAGTAATTAGTAAGGGCATTACTTATGGCACCTCCATGGCCCCCAAAGGCTTCATTGCCTAAATCCAGGGCATAGTTCCTAATTCAGGCCAGCTACCAGATAAGGAAAACCCCAAATGTACAGCTACACAGGGCCACCCCTTTCTCCCTTGCACTGAAATCACTGTAACCTGAACAATAATGGCAGAGCAATTTGCCTGCAGCCTGGGAGAAGCACTGGGTATGCACGATTCATCTGACACTGCAGGAAGGAGCATGGAAAAGAAGCTGGTGCCATGCTCTGTACAGAGGAGAACAGTAGCAGTGGTTCACTGCTGAGTGAAAAAAATGGCTTTCTGGAGAGGAAAAAATGGAACACAGCTGCATTTGAACAGCCCTGGGCCCTGGTGATCTTGCAGTAGACACTAACTGTACTCCTTGTCATCCTTCTGCTGGGTTAATCAACAGGAAATGCCTCCTCTGGGATTTTCAGCTTCTTTGGATCATTAGCACCCAGTAAATGAAAACAGAGATTATTTAATGCTATCATTACTTTCTTTCCCAACTAACAAGCTATTTCTCTGGCGGCTTCCCAGTGCAGCAAACATACAGTAGCGTTATATGAAAAATGCCAATGCCAACAAACCCACAGAGCCCATCAGGACCGGAGCCACTGTGGAGGCTGAACCCAATATCTCACCAGTCAAAGGCTAGTTGTGAGGACACAATGAAATTGGAGTGATGACAGTTGTTTGAGGGTTTTTTGGCCAATGGATTTCAGTTTACAAGGCCATAATGCATCTGTAGTGTGAAGTTTTTATGTAGAGTAAAAGCCATTGCCAAGTGGAACTGGACAGTTTCCCCAGGCCTGTGGGAGAATCACGAGGCAGATCCCTGGGCTACTAATTGCATAGCTCTCCACTTTTCTAAATTCTTGGTGTTAAAGTCGCTTAGATTAGACACAGAGCTCACAGAAAGTGCTCCTGTATCTTTCTGCACAGTGATCCCAGCAAGATTACACATCCAAAATCTGTTTTCTCTTATGATTGAACTTATTGTTTTGAGGAGTTTCTGAGCCAGTACACTTGCTTCATCAAATATTTACTGTGCATGGCAAGAAGCACAGACAAAAGATGTAACATGAAAAGCATCACCCATGTAATGCTTTTTTTACAAGTTCTGCCCTCTGCTTTCATTGGGAAGATCTTAAAAGTTCAGTGCCCCTATCAAAAGCTCCTGCAACGGCTGCTTCTCAGTAGAGGAGGACTGCTCAACCGTGAAACAAGAGTTACCACAAGCAGTAGCTCATCCAGGGCAGCAAATCAAGAGTTAGGAAAAAACTGTTCTGAATGCCAAACCTCGTTAGCTCTTCAAACAGTACTTGGACAGTCCCTCATTCCAGCTCTAATCAAGTGTTGTGCTGGACACGGTGGTTATTTGAGTACTGTACACAAGTTTGCTCCCACTGAACTCTGTGATGGTCTCTGTCAGAGCTGTGGCCGAGGGTAGTCATTTTCCAAAGGTGGATGATTGATTGCTCTCTGGGTTCTTGTGACTGCCGGACACAATGAGAGGAGAAGGAGCCAAGTACACTGATGCACCTTTGCCTTGAGCATAACCCAGCTGAGACTGAAAGTGCTGAAAGGTTTCCCCTCCTTATCGAGGCACTTTGAAGGAAACACTGAAACAGCTAAATCCTGAGCCTATGGAGGGGTCTGCAGAGCACCCTCATGTAGAGAGGTCCTCACCTTGAGGACGTCTGGGTGTTAATGCTGTATGAACCCAAAGTAGCTGACAGTGCTGTGGGGGCCAGTGCTAGAAAAAGCACGCGACAATCAGCTGCTGCTTCTCTTTTGAGAGCAGGTCTTCATGGCACACAGGATTTCTGCCATGAAGGACTCTAGGAAAGGCTCTGGATGCCCGACACTCAAGGCTTGGGTACAGAAGCAGTCACAGTCACCACCCTGAACTAATAAGTCCAACCAGTGGCCCATGTCTTGTTAGGCCAGCTGTTTGTTGGCTCACTTCAGTTTCTTCTAAAAGCATTTTGCTTAGAAATATCGGGCTCGTCTCCCTTGGTGCCTTCCTCTCAGCTGCCTCAGGGAGACAAGTCTCCCACCCCAGACTCCTGTGTGATGCCATCCCAGAGGGCTACTAAAACACATTCCGTGGCCAGTAGTTTTCTCCTGGTGGGGCCCTGCATACTGTTCCACACATCTTTCATAAAGGCACAAACCAACTCCAAGCACTTTGACTCCAGCAGGTTTCCACAAACAGCTGCATAAATCCAAGATAACTGCAAGTGAGCATCCTAAGGGCTCTGCCCTGTTCCTGTGTAATCATCAGGCAGGGAAATGCTCAACGATCTGAAGCAATTTCATTCAGCTGCAACATGGCATCTGAGTTTCGTATTGAAATTTTTCATTATGAGTAACAAGCACTGGGAGCACAAGGTGTAGGGCTGACATGCGAAAGCAGGAACATATCCTCTAACGAGAGCAGCTTAATTGTCCGTTTTATTACTGTCATATCTATTCTACTCAAGTCCCAATACTGTTCTTAGTGCTGTATGAACCCTGCAATACAACCGTTCCCACTGCTCAGAATTTGTTCCCTGGTCTTTACAGTATTTAACAACTGTGTCTTGTCCAGGGCTGAAGTCCATCATTCAAGCATCACTGAAATATTCAAAGCCTCCA